TTTAGGAAAGAGAGGCGGGGCAGATAGGCTGGTCGAGTGCATAAACATGAAGGATGTACGAGCGTGTCGGATGCAAATTTCACGAGTTTTTCCAATGGTGTTGATGAATAAGGAATCGCCGGGCTGCTGTAGCTCGTGGCGAACACGTAGCAACGGAAAAGTGGCGGCGGAGCTCTCGCTGGAAACTCGGTTTCATCGCGCAACCGAGACCTCTTACAGTCCCGTCCCTTGCCTTTCCGACCCCTCCCCACCCCAGCGTCGTTGTAATCTCGCCTCCTTTATATCTTCTTTGTTATCAGCAGCCAGCGAAAGGAGGAAGAACCGAACGTGGATTTCGCGAACGAAACTTGACTGAGCGGCCTCCATACGTAACGCCGCCGGGCTTCTTCGTACACGTCGCCCCCTATCTGCGACGATTCTCCCGCGGCATCCTTCTTTCCGTTCGTCCCTTTCTCTTCGTTTCCCCCACTCTTCCAGTCGATCGAACGACGTCAGCGACGACGACGCGACGATTCCTTTGCGGACGAGAATCGAGCAGCTGTGCTCTCTCGCAGATTAAAATTTATATTCCCTTACGCGTTGCGCACACGCGACTCTCCTCTGCGCAGACTCGCACGCGCAGCGACGAGGTCGGCCATATTGTCGCGAGAGACGAGACACGCGAAATTATCGCTTAACGAGTTGTCGAGTTGAAGTTCGTCTCGAAATATGGACAACATCGCGAAGTTTTCGTTCGTGTGTCGATCAAAATTCACGCGTCATGCACTAATCAAGCAGGTGATCGTCGATATTCGAAGAATCCGAATCGCGAAGCGTTAAACAAAATTCTTGCACGGTGTACGAAGCGAAACGACTCTCTGTTGACAGTCAACGACCTTCCCCGGTAAAGTTGCCACGTGGTAAATTTCGAGGTTATACGATGCAAAGTGAACGACCGTGATCGCAGGGAATTTCAACGCGTCGCGATCGGGCACAGGAATTCGCTCGTTTCCGGAATAGTTCGCGTACTCGTGCTCGTCGAATCTTTCCGTCGGACTGTTTCATTTTCGTGGCTCGACAGTGACTGGCCGACTCCATTGAAGAACCTTTTGTCGTTCGGCTTCCTATTTGTGCCGGATAATTCCTCGTCTCGATGAAGTATCGGAAGGAAGGGACTTGGATCGAAAACTGAAAGGCACGATGAGGCGGGGAACGAAGTGTGTCGCGCAGACCATCAACTTGTCCAATCCGGAGACATGCATAAGACCGAAGAGGATTCAGAAGCTCGTTCAGGCAGAAGTGATGCATCCTTGTCCGAGCATTGGTGTTGGTGGTACGGCTTATTGGACTCCTAAGCCGGTGACCATTAAAATCTGTACACGGAAGGACATGCAGAGAACGTGTCCGCCAAAGGTGAGTCATGCCAGATTTATTACCAGAAAAATTCTTAATCTTTCGAACCGTCGTGGTTTGGACTTGCCCATATACGAAGGCTTTTAGAGGCGGGCGGGAGGGAGAGAGGGAAGGGTGGGGGGATGAGAGTGCTGTACGAATGGGAAACGGACGTACATATATACGCGGTCGAACTAGATATATTTGTCGTTAATGAGATTCCGTTGGCGGGGCAGGTTGACTCGTTAACAAGAGAGCTTTGGCGTTAAGCCGCGCGGACGCGTTCTCGTGCTGCGAGTTCGACTCGCCTTCGCGTCATATTGACGTGCCGCGGCAGGGGAGGACGACGGTGTTCCAGCACCTGTACGGAATTGGTTAGTCGATACGTAGTTGCGTTTACCTGGAATTAGCCCGACAGTTCGGTGTACACAGGTATAGCGACGCCGATGGGTCTCTAATGGAGGAGGACAGTTTAGAGTTGGCGTACTTGTTAGGGACACGTACGTACGTGACCTTACGAGTCGAGGGCATCGTCGCGTTTAGCAGACTGTAGAGGGTTTACTCTCGTCGAACAGAGAGCCGGATATTCTCGAGGGTTCCGTAAACGCGACAAATCTTTCCACGAGCTTCTTTTCACGCTCTCTTTTCCGTTGCTTCGTCACGGTTTCCTCGAATTCGAGCGTTCGAGCGACGCCAGCGCCGCGCTAGCGGTAGACAGGGGAACTCGTTTACGATGGATACCTCGGACGCTTCTCGAAAGTTGCCCGCATGATCTTTAGCTTCACCGTCGAAATTCCCACCGTGTTGGCAAACACGAACCGTCTCTGCGGTTTCTCTCGACTCTCTGCGCAAATACACGAGGAGACAAAGGAACACGGGGTTTGTCCTTAAAAACCCTCAAATATTGATACTCTTTCGAGGCACGTATGCAAACCTCGTGCTCTGTCCGAGGCGACGATGGTGATATCGCTTAATGTCATATACCTTTGCGTAGATCTGCGATTGTCCGCAGAAGACACAACGGAGGACGATTAGGCAAAAATTGTGCAGCGCTTTGTTCTTCCTTCTAAAGAGTGGCATCGCAGCTGGCCTCGTTTATTGGACGCATTCCGAGGGCTTGTGGGGGAGCAGCGCCGACGTGGAGGACCTTTATCGCAGGATAATGGCCACGATTATGCCCGCCTTGGCCGACGAATACGGCAAAGAAGTAGTAGCACAGCACGAATACGGCTGCACCAGGTTAAGTTTCCCGATCGATGGTATTTGTTATGTGTTCGCAGATCGAGTTGCCTCGCATAAGCGAGTTCAAGTACTCGTTAGTACAGAAGTACAATCACGCCGTGTTTACCGTGATGGAATGCATCATGAGCGCGTCGGCGATGCTTCGGAAGCAGCTACAAAATATCATGCTCGCCATCGAGCCACCGAAGGACAAGCCGGCCGAGTCCCAGTCGTCCCAGGTCGAGGTAACCGAAGCGGAGACCGAGGACGGGTCGCTCGACGATACCGAAGAGAAAACTTAACGGCCGCCATTGCCCAGAGTCGTAGAAATCCTGATGCGTGAATAAATTTATAAAACACTGACTCCGTCATTGCGAAGGATTGACGTACTTCTCGCGAATGGCAACTGCGATTACGTCGTTCGCGAGTCGCTCGATAAAGATGTTCCCGAGATGTTCTCTCACTCGCTACGTACATAGAGACGCACATAAGCAGGCGAAATATGATACAAGGAGAGATTAAAATTCCGTTCAGGATGCTTCCATTTTTTCTCGGGACACTCGACGGTACACCAGGGATTTCTCACAGTAGTTGCATCTTAAGCGATTTTTATGGTGCCTCTTCCTATCGCTGCAAAAATTTCAGGCCTCTTCTCGCCGCGTCTTCTGCCAGCCGACGCGAATTTATTCTCGCGACGAGACGTTCGTCTGGTACCAGCTCCGTCTCTCAAAACACCTTGCATAAATAACGTTGGAAAGTTTGCCTCGAAACGAACCTAGGCTTTTCCTTAATTCAGCGAGGATCAAGTAGATAGAGAAATTCGATCTGGTCCATCCCCTCGTACAATCCCTGATTTTCAGGTTGAATTTTTTCGTCGATTCCCACGCGAAATCGACCCATTCCTTTGTAAGCTTTTATAAATTTCGGATTATGCTAAACGATACTTTAACGGTCTCCCGAGATCATTCGGCCGAATAAATCTCGTCGCGTACCAGAGGGTTCCGTGTTTCTACTCTTCTTCACCGATAATTCAATCGGGAGAAAAAGCAAGCGGGGAAGCACGCCTCGTTAATCCGACGATGTAGCTTCGGCATTCATATTTTCGAAGCCACGTTTCTGAATTATAAATAAATATTCCGTTTTAGAAACGAAACCCTCGACATCGCCGCGTTATCGAGATAATTTCTATATTTGCTTTCTCGGTTAAATGCCGCGGTTTCGCCGTTTTATTTAGTAGTCGTTTGATATTCCGGATCGTGTCGGTGATCGCGAAAGTAACTGAAATCGCGTGTGTGTCGCATCGAAATGTCAGCGATTCAATTTTTCGCTGTATCGCTCAGAATGATCTCATTGGATCGCGCAGTGCGAAGGAATGCAAAGCGAAATGGGCGATAAAATCGTTCCTTTCGAAACTCGGAGACTTGGACCAGTTTCGTAATTACCGGGAATAATTAAGGAGTCGATGTAACCTTTGACCTTTGGCCCAAGTTCGAAGCTGGCTTTTCGTGGTTCAAGCGTGTAGTCGACGTCGAAGAAATATCATAGAGGATCGGGGTAGCCCTCGGGGAAGGTGATTCAAAGCACGGTTCAGTTCGGACAGTTAAACAGTTTATTCAGATCGAAACTTTATGTAGTATATACATACGAGTTAGTAGACGATATGGAGTTCTGATATGAAATCACCTATACAGTGAACTTAAAATATAATCGATTTACACGGACCTCGCATCATGCTGATTATGTACATTCGTTAGTCTCTAAATTTCGTTTTCGCGTTCGATCGAATCGCTTGCACCAGGTAACCGGCGCATCGTTTCTTCGCTCGCCGAGAATTTCGCTATCGATGTCAGACCTGTTCTGCCTGTTTTGTAAAAAAGAGTCACGATAGAAAAAGAAAAGCGACGAGAGAAAAAAGAGGGAAAAATTCGCGGTGTTTCTTCTTTCCCCGAGGAGAAACGAAACGTTTGAGCGTGATACAAGGATCGACGTGGATTCTCGGCTTGTGCGTGCGTTGCGTCGAAAATCGATTCTCGCCAGATCGACATCCGGTTCATATTTAGGCTAATGTTGACGGACGTGAAAATAGCGTGATCGCGTCGATCAGGTCGCTGGTTTCCACGCGGAGCGTCGCGACTTGGCTCGCGACGCGACGATTGGTCGTGACGAGGGATTTTTCGAGGCTCTTTAGAGGGTTGTTCGAGGTTTGTTCGATAGAAAAAGACGTTCGATCCGATTGCCGAAGCGCGGCTAATTCTACGTCTGCGGCGAGGATAGCGCGTATTCTAATTAACAAAGATCGTTGTCCGTCGAGCGATTTTTTGGGAAATAACGACCTGTCAACCCGCCACTTGAACGAGAAATTGACGAGCCCCGCGAACGACGATAGAGGGGGCCCGCGTCGTTTCGAATCGCCTCGATTTCCTGGCGCACCGGCGTTCTCCCGCGGATTACACGTACCGTTTACAATACACTCGCAACGACAAAAGATCGAAATTACCGACGACGTTCGCGCGATCGTCCCCGAGCTCGGTTCCCCACGCGTGGGGACTCTTCTTCGACGATACATACTTATGTACAACGATACGACATTAACTAACGAGCAACGACTTTTAGTTACCTTTATTTATTTATTTATTTATTTATTTATTTATTTATTCGTTACTTATTTATTTATTTACTTGCTTATTTTTTTTTGCTTCTTTCATTATTCGCATTTTTCTCGTTTAATACATCGAAAACAAAAACGGAAACACTCGACATTTGGTTCGACGTTATCAATCCTTTCGATCGCGTATCGATCGCGTATCGATCGCGCGTAGATCGCGACGCCGCACCGTTCAAACGTGTCACGCATACGATAACTTAACATTTATCCTTCTTCCACTCGTTTCCTCCTCTCCGTTAGAGGTTCGAAGTACGAGCTACCTTGAGCGAGAGTCTTGGACGAAGTTCGCGTCACTTCATTCTCTTAGGAATATACTTTGTCACTTTTTACTTCTAGTTTTGCCGTCAAGCTTCATGACTTCGTCGCGAAGTGTCACGTGGAAGCCCGGTTTTTCTGACCTTACAAATTCAATTTTTCACCCGAGTACGAAGACTCCTCGAGTCCTTCCGCCACCGGTTATTTTCCTCCTCGGATCGTCGCGAGAATCGGACGAAATTCGGAGAACACTCGGCCGGCTGGACGCGATTCCTCCTCGAGTTGCAACCTCCGGTTCGACGCGTTCACCTCTTCTCGTGCCTCCATTTTACTCGCGTCCGCGAACCGTGCGTGCATATTTACAAGAGTGTTCGATCTGCGTCGGAAATTAGGCTAAACGCGGAAAGGAACGTTGAGATCGACGACGGGAAAAGAGCTCCGTAATCTCGTATCACAGCTACCACGACGGAGCACGACGAGACGAAGCGTCTCCTCGTTCTCCTAATCGACACGTAGTGCAAACGCGCTTCATTTCCGGGCATCGCGTTAATTATTTACGCGCGCGAGACTGTCTCGTCGTTGACTGTTCTCGCGGAAGTTCGATCCGATTCGTCGCGATAGAATCGCGATATTCGATCGCGTGGAACACGGTGCGGTTACATCCTCGAGTCTCTATCCTCGATCACACACACACCCCTTATTGTCGATTCTTGCTTAACGCGTTATCGTCTCCGCTGCGAACAGAAGACGATTTTCGTTGAATCAAACGTCGTCCCTAATCTCACGGAATGTGCTGAAATCGCGTCGCGTCTGTACGCGATTTTTCTCATTTTTCTTTTTATTTCGCTTTGTCTTGCCGGTTTCCTTCTTTCCTTTCTCTCGCTGGGAATTCGGGAAGATAAGAAAAGGACGATCGCGGGTGAAATCGAGCGAGTAATCGAACGAAGACACCGACGACGTTGCAACGTATAAAACCGTGCTTTCGTACAAACTACTTCCGCCCCGAATATGTTTTCCGTCGTTGAAACTGATTGATCAGCTTCGATACCGCGCTTCACGCTTCTTCCCGCAACTCGGCAAAGTAACATCGCGTTATCTTTCCATTCCCCCCCGCGTCTTTCGTTCCTCCACCTTTCCCCTAACCTTGCTCTGGTTCCCATCGTATATTCTCGCGCGGTTCCTTCATCCATCTTCATTCCGGGCAACCGGAAGAGGGGTTGTTCGGGAACCTTTTATCTTTTCTCGCGTTTCTCGGCCTAATGCCTCGATGTCTGGAGAATTCGATCGGTAGGCTCAGACGTGCAGGTTTATTTACGTCCATTTCGCGATTCCGCGATCTCGGTGAATAGACGAGAGATAGATAGATAGATAATAGATAGACAGACAGACAGACAGACAGACAGACAGACAGATAGATAGATAGATAGACAGACAGAAAGAAAGAAAGAAAGAAAGAAAGACAGATAGGGATTGGCGATTTTTCTAGCGGCTAGGGTCTGTCCTCGCTTGTCGTCGTCGCTTCGAGTCCAACCGTTTCGAGGAACGATAATACCGTGGATGGTGGTGCACGAAGCCAAACGGCGGGACTCGGTGTGTCGTCTGGCCGGAAGTCGCGTCCCCTCGATACGTTACACGAAACTGCCGCCATTTGTTCCCAATTTTTGCCGGGAAATTTTCGCGGATGCTCGCATCGGTGCGTCCTAACTGTGAATCACGTAGCGAGGAAGAAATATGCGAGAAGACAGTGTCGAAGATCATTGGACTCGGAGTCGTGCGACGGAAACAGGCAGAGGGGAAAGTTACGTCGACGTTCGAAGACAGAAGGAGACTACTTCGGAACATGTTCCCCAGGTGGAAAACTCGAGAGCGGCAAGTTTTCTCCTACCTCTTTCCCAGTCCCGATTCTTCTTCCTCCCTTTCCGTCACGTCCCTTTTTTTCTTCCCTCGTCCGTTCGCTGCCGCGAGGAGGAGAGAGAAAAGAGAAGGAAAAGGAAAACATATCTCGGCCGAATATCGAGAAAACGTTTACGAAACAATTTCGACGGATACCGTTCCCAGATTGGAAAGTTGTGCCAACCAATCCATGCACGCGTCGCACGTTCGCGTTGCTCATCCATCGCTTATCCGTTCGACCATACCCGCTACTTTATCGTCTGTCGTGTCCCGTTGCTCGCAACGACAACGGTGGATTGTCTTCAAGCCTTCGGCTCCATACGACGCTGCGAGAATAGCTTCTAACGCGCGTCATCCTGACCGGAGTACGAAGCGTGCAGCCGCGACGACCAACGAGATCCGGAAGGATCGGTTCGGCGCAAAGGGACTCTTAGATTAGGTCGGTGAACGCGTAACACGGAGGGCGGCGCAAGATGCGAAGAAGGCTCGTTGGCCGAGGTCTAGACGCAGCTCTCCGGAAGCCTGTTGGCCATCAGTCGTCTCTTGATCGCCTCGCCGTCCAGACACTCGCCGGCTACGACGACTCCTTGGCCGGTGCCGACGACGACACCCTGGCCACCACCGAGCGTCACTACGCCGCTGCCCTGCGCGCCGCTCACCACGACGCCCTGTCCACCGCCCATCATCACCCCCGTCATGGGCATGCTCTGTAAGCTCGGGATGGTGCTTCTCGATGGTAACCTCAGCTCCGTCGGTCTTCCGGTGAATTTGTGGCAGAGCTCGTCTATGCTTGGCGTGGGTCCTGGCGTGACCCAGTGTCCCGGGGGATATCCACCCGGATAACTCGGCGGACTCACTTCCACCAGGTTGCCCTCTGCAACATCGGACCAGGGACAATTCTTTTGGGATTCGTACGAAACGTTATGAAGCGAAACGAGCTGCCTCCCCGTGACAATTAGCCTAGCCACGCGGTTTTTCTCGCTTTTCTTTCCTCTCGTTGGCCTCAGCCGGCGCGGCGGTCCCGGTGCCCACGATCCGGAATGCCACGTCGCCCGGAACGCGTACGTGCCGATAATGGTGTACGGGAGGAGTACGGCCAACGTTCCGGGCTCGGTTACACTAAAAGCTATTTTACGTCGGCGGGTCGTTGGGCTCTCATTTTTTTAGTAACAAGCGTACGCTCTACTAGTCGTTGAACGGGTTCATTTTTCTCTATGCATCTTTAATATCCGGCCGTTCCGAACTTAATGGCCCCTAATGGCTGGAATTACGAAGCAAGAGTTTCCCGCCGCAAGAACGTTCTCCATGTTTTCTCGAATTCGGAACGGTGCCTCGTAATCCGGGATCCCGGATTCGCTCTGTTTTTCTTTATCGTTTTTCACCCGAGTCGGAGAAAGAAAATGGCCCCGGTTTTGTCCGGCAGGCACGTAGAGCCGCGTGGAGCATTCCGGAAAGCGGCACAGAGCCCGCGAGCCGATCGAACCGGGATCGATCGCAATCGCGGCTCGACCGAGCGAATGGAAAATATTTTTCCAAAATATCTGGCGCATTGGTTCGATCTCTTTTGTTGCGATGAAATACCGCCCCGGCGCCGCGGCCCGGCAGCCGTGTAAGCCGCGGTAATTGAATAAAATCTATACACGCTGCTATTACAAATCGTGGCGGCGCTCGTAACCCGACGCAATTAGATTAACTGCGCGTTGCGAGAACGTTTCCTGCCCATTATTCCAAAATCCAGACCCGCGATCGACCGATCGATAGGGGGCGAACGAGCGGTTCGCAGGGCCGATAGGCGACGAGCGCCGCGATTTCTTCTTGCCGAGAGAAACTTACCGAATTTGTTCGGGATCACGTCGGGATCGGTCTCCACGGTTTGCTGAGGATTCTGTAGAGGGTACTGTTGCGGTGGCAGTTCGCTCAGCTCCGCCGGTTTTTCGTGCCTCGGCTTCGACACTCGTTCCCGTCGTACTCGCACCACCACAACCAGGATGATCAGCACCAGCGTGACCAACGCTCCTACCACCACGCCTATCAGCGGGGATAACACGATTCCAGCGTCTTGCCCTTGAACAGTAGGATAAATTCGGGGGTAGTTAGTACCGCGAGTGGATGCGCAACGGGTTAGGCAGAGGAGGGGAAACGCGGCGCGGCGTTTAAACGACCAACGTAATTAACAAATTCCACGCGTTCGCGCCGTTTCAGCCAGGGCTCGATGAAATTTACGAGGAACTGGGGATTGACAAATGAACAACGGTAATTTATTTAAAATTATCGCGACCGTAATTAAACGATGCATGGGTCTTGTAATAATAGCGCGATCGTTGCTCGGCCAGCGAATGAATCGTAATATATCCATACATTAATAAACAGGTAACCGCGGGACGCGTGAAACTGCGCGATAATAATCGTTATGAAACGGCAGACAAGCTTTTCGGCAGACAATTGAGCGGTGCCGTGTCTCGTTAATTTCCTCCGTGGTAATCGGCTACGCCGATAATCCCGTTGTCGCTGCTATTTCGTTTTCTTGATTCGCCGATCGTTCGCGATTCGAGGTCTTTCGAGATCTGCCGGGGTATGAAACTTTGAACGTGCCTTCGAGACTCGGAAACTCGTTAAAAGGAGGGAGGAGAAAGAAATGACGGATAAAAAAAATAAAATGGCGATCG